TGCTGCCGCGGTCGCTGCATCTAGTATGTTCAATACGTACTCTTCGGTTATTCAGAACATGACTCCTCCAAGTCTGTTTGATTTGAGTTCGACTAATTCGTTCTCATCCGGTGTGGGTTCCACTACAGCACAGTTGCATGAAACGGTTGATGCGGAGTCCCAGATTATTGGTACAACAACTCGTTCATTCGGAAACACTTTCGCACAAGGTGGCTCCCATGTGGCTCGAACCGTTCAACATGCTGGATCCCAGTTCGGCACTTTTCTTAACGGACCTACCGTTTCCGGGGGTCTTAGTGCAGCAGCGGCCGCAGTGGCTGTGGCAGCCTGGTCTGCCGATCGTCAGCAATTCACCAATCAATCGCTTGAAAGCGAATCAACTAATGCAGCTACTGAACATTCATCCACAAAGGATAGTCAAACCAGATGGCACCTGACCTCACAAACACCACCACCACCACCACCACCAGAATGCACAGTTGAGTTGACTAAAACAGATCACACTGCCATCTACCCTAGTCCATCACATCAACGAGAAAGAACTATGAATTTGGAGTTCTCTCAGGGTTTGTATGAACCAATGAGGAAGGGGAATCAAATAAAACTGGAAAATGAGAACAAGTTTTTCGAGTTCGAAATGTTTCGTCCCTCGGGAACATTTTCATCTACTCACATGCTCGAGCAGAGAAACGAGCCTTCCACAATCCCAACAGAAATTAATTGCGATTCGTCGGCCTCGCCCACCTCATCGACCGCAGTCAGCTTCATTCACTCTTCATCCAGTGATATTTTGGGACTGAATCTTGTAGTACCTGAAACGGTTCGTGATTCAGACGGGCAGAAAAGTTTATCGGGACAAGCGATTGTTCAGTCACGCTTGTCAAACGACTGCTCCGTACGTGGACAACCAGTGTGGAGTGCTACGAAATGTTTCCCATTCGGTGCCCCCAGTGCATACAATCCCTACACAACAATAACAACGACCACAGGGGAGACCATGGCCAACACAACCGCCACATCGACCTCCTGTGCATCCAAAATTCTCTTCGCTAACAACTCTTCTGATGGGACTATTTTTGACTCGGACCGAGCAACTTTCGTCGGCAATTGGGGTGCAATCAACAATTTTTCTTCGATGCCCCTGATGACCGCATTTCAACCGGGATTGAATCGAACCGGTGCGTCTGTTGGTCGTGATCTCACGGCCACCGGTCGATCATCCAATTTCCCTTGGCCCGCCACNCCCCGCCACTCCAGATCCATCAAGTACTCTTCAGCAAACACTGAACAAACTCACTGGGTGAAGCTGTTCCTTTTTTGTTTGAGGGGGAGGCTTGGGTTGACATGTGGACACAGGTTCTTTACAAACGTTTATGTGCCAGGCATTTCTTTTTTGGTCACTTATGTGGTTTTTCTTTCTTTCATCTGCAAAATGATATTGTTGTACAGTAAATTGCTGAAGTGATTTTCATTTACTCATACCGTTTATTTTTGATTATTTACTTCTGGTTGATGTTGGACTAGGTCACATCTGTAGTGTATCTTCAACATTGATGAGCTAAATAGTTTGGTTATTTGGATAGAAATCCAGCGACTCCAAGGGTACTTAATTTTGATTGATTGATTATAACTGACCATTCTTCAGATTTCAGTTTCATGCACATTCCTCGGCTCTTCCGGTGAACGATACACCCGGAAGCACTAGACTCGAGTTTCATTCTTATTAGAGCTCGTCAGAAGTGCATTTCCACCGTCTCCTCCAGGAGTTGAACTCCGAATCCATCGCACGGAAGACGTGTGTTATCACTGCGCCAACTAGTTCAGGTCAGAGCGTGACCGAATTGCCAATTCATGTTTGTTCAGGTGTCGTCTTGAGAAATAGTCAGGCAGTTCAATTTGACCCGTTAGTAACGGAGGAAAACTCAGTTGACTATCTGTTAACTCCAATCGAAAGCCTTCCACCAAGTCAGGTCTTCCATGCAGGTTAGGGACTGAATGGACGGATATGGATATGCACTACTGATGAGCTCTAAAAGAGCGAAACTTGAGCCTAGCGCTTCCAAGTGTATACTTGACTGGAAGAGCTGAGGAATGTGCGCGAAGGATGGTCAATTCTAATCAAGCAATCAATGTCAATTACCCCACAACAATATTAACAAGTAACCATGAGTTAAATGATACTTTATTAGTTCAAATCATGGGAATCCAGGGCGTCGTTAGCACTGTATTTAGTGTACGTTACTTCCGATGTCTTACAGAACCTGAAACCTACGTTTGTACGGACCAATGAGGACATCGTCCTTTTTCAAAGTAGAGTAATGCAAACTGTCTGCTGACAAGTTCTCTTTTACTCGTCCAGACACGTCGTCACGGGAGTCAGAATGAAGTGGGCCCATGATTGATTCGGTCAAAATTATAAGTGTAGCATGGAACATTTGAAATGGGGTGCAGCCAATCAAAAGGCATGCCATAGGTGTGGTGTGATATTCGCTTAGTTTTGGTACAGTGACTATGGGCGTAGATGGTGTGTGTGCGTTTATTGTGAGAAGGGGAAATGCCTTCGCTAAGGTTCAACCACTCGCATACACTTTCACGAACATCGATGAATGGCTTGTATTCGCCACTGTACCATGTGTACAAGGTGGCACAGATGACCGATCGGAGAGTGAATAAAAATACCTGACTCAGTTTGTCACATACTTTTGATTTCCCTTTTACACACCCTTCCTAACCCCGGTTGGCTTTATCGGACGAGGGAGGGTGATACCGTATTTCTCTGAATTCAATCTAGCATAGTGTAAATATATATATAAATATATACAAAATCAGTCGAAGACCAGAAAAAGTCGAAGTGATACTTTGCAAGCCGAATGGGGAATGCTTTCAAGCACCCGTGATTATAGCAACCACTCAGGTTAACTAACTAGCGAGATCACCTGTGGCAGTCAAACCCTGGGTGGGGAATTCATACTTTTCTGACACAATGTGAATCGGATCGATGTAAACAGTATTCTAGTCACTACCGTGCTCCACCACGTCGTCGTACACCTTACAGATCAGATCAAACAATCAACATGGTGACGGGGAAAATATGGTCAGAACTTCAAGTGGATCGCAAGGGAATAGGGAAGAGGCATCCGTCTTCAATGACACCGCAAAACTAACCGTGCATGAACCGGGAAATATCAAAGTATCAATCTGCTTTGGTAATTTAATCGTAATAACCACATTATAAAGGCGAAGACTGATGCAAGTCGGTGAGATAAACAGCACACACACAAACACACTGTTAGTCAACTAATCTGATCAGAAGAGATCTGCGTAATGCGAAGAGTTTCACAAATTCGGAAATCCGCGGTTAGACTTCGAGCGGGTCTACCATTTGGACAATTTGTATTCAGGTACCCCATGGTGTTTGCAAAGCTGTGCATTTCAGACCCAATTGAGGGATACCGGCAACCAAAATGGAATTGACAACATTCAGTGTTGGCCTACTAATGCTACTCAGTCGTAATATTTACAACCACTATTCGATGCCAATTTTCTGCAGAAAGGGAATTGAATAGAGAAGCAATGTGACGTTTCTGCCCGAAAATTAGCGGAAGGCATTTGGAATATGCTTTCAGAGACTATGTATGTTCCTCTAATCGGAGATATTATACCAGATAATCTATTTGGGCTTCCCGCGGAGAATATGGACATTGGAGCATTAGAAAACCACAGGATGCTTGACTTTGCAGAACAGTGTACTACAACTGTATCCCTTCGAATGTTAGTTGAAAGTGCACTCTTATTTAGGAATGGACGACAACAACGACAACAACAACTCAGCCTTGTGCATTAGACCGTAGTTAGCCCCAATCAGAATGCGGATTGCGAGGTCAGAATTGAAGGAGGTGCGATGAATGATTTGCACTTATGTCCCCGAGGTATTTAGGGATGTGACAACAGTTTCCAGTGGTTAACAAGATGCGGCCCGTTTTCATAAACGGTACTAATTTGACCTCCACTCTTATTCGTGACCTATATCCACGCATACAACTTCATCTCCATATAGGAAACGTTCAGCAGACATGACATCTCAGTTCGGAAGGAATGCAAGTTACTTGTCAGGCACTGGGGTTTTCTGAGCCGAAAGGACCACTGTTTGAACCAATATCCCCGGTTTCTAAGCTGATAAAGTGTTCGTGGTTGACGTTCTATCAGGAGCGAAAGATCAATCACACCGAAGTATATTTTGAAATATCTGTGTACCTAAATCATTATTAGGACAGGAGTTTGAATTTCCTGGTTCAGGATTACATCAAGACGAGTGAAGAAAAAGAAGAACCGGGATCTGAATGTGCGATGACTGGTAGAAAAAATTGTCGAATGATCAGTTACCATCGAAGGTTGCACCTCTAGGGGATGGTGCGAGGAACAGAACCGGCCATTTCGTGTGGAATGGTGAAGTGAGGCTTTAGCTACGAACGGTAAGTGGAAGGATGACAGTTTAGAGATCAAAGGAATAGCTGTATATAAATACAAGAGTGTGAAAAATACAGGTGTTGGGGCTCTGTGGGGCTATTCAGCTTGATTAAACGAGTGAGCCGGTTTCATGGACAGAAACACGACTGAATACGCCACAACTAGAACAGAAATTAACCTTTTTATTTCTAGATGACAACGTTGAAACCTTGGCTCCAAACGATACGAACCCAATTTGTTCATCATCAGTTATGCCGATGCTTAGCCCATTAGTGCATTCCTTTCGATGACTGTCGGTCATTAAAGAATTTTTATCAGTCGTCGTGAACTCGAATCACTCTCAATCAATATTTGTCTTAAGGCACGTTCGAAACGGTTAAAGTTATATTTCTGTTTCAAAGAAAGTGGGATCACAGAGTGACTCATGAAATACTGATATACCGTTTGTTACAATCTTCGATCTGTCGTATAATGCCAATCACTGCCAAATGGACGGTGGTATGTAGCGGATCCGAATGAAGGTCAGATTGTGTGATTTCATTGTAATTTACTTTGGGAATTGCGAGCACATCTCTAGGACGTTGAGTAGATTTATGCGTGACTTTTTAGGTGCATTGCATTGCATCATCATTTTCATCAGTAGTGTAGCTCAAAGAGAAAATGAGTAAGGGAACACAGAACATCGCATACGGAGGTGAGGGCAGAGGATTAAAGGACGGGTTCATAAATTCAACGCTTTGATCTTTGCCAATGATGGTTTTCGATGGGTACAACCAGACGTTCCTGAGCACGTAAAAGTGACGGTTGTTAAGGGGAAATCTCATAGATATTCTTCCAAGCAGCATGTCATGATGGTTATCAGGCGGTGAATTTTCCAAGCAAATTTGTTTCTATAGTACAAAGAGTGGATTTGAAACTAAGCCCCACTCAGGTTTATTGGACAGGAGGAAATCAAAGGAATATCGAAAGCAGCTGGTTTACTGTACAAAAAGGGGACTGTGAACTGTAAAGGTGAACATACTGCAGTTTTTCATTAGTACAGTGCGAATCCTTCGACTTGTCAATATTTAGTGATATGAACTTACGAAATTTCAATCGTCGTTGAACTCGGTTTTCTTAGTACTTGGAAGCTGGTCAATCGAAGTCGAGACCTCACAAATCGTGTAAAACGTTGTTCGAATTACCATTACAACGAGTGTTCGCTAACATTAATCACTATAGTTATAATTGTAACTCCCTCGGCATGCGGAACTTGTAGGGTATTGTATTATTTTCATTAGATTGCATTATCACTGTTTTGCTTAATTCTGCGTTGTGCCATCGTTAAAGTACTGCGGAGAAATCACGAGCACACTCTTCGCACAACTGGATATTCATTCTTTGAGTATGTCACTCGGACCAATACATCGTTAAATAATGGGTTTAACTGTAGGGATTAGACCCCAGAATGTATTCACGTGACAATTTATACAGTTGATTGTTTTAATACGTAATGGCGTGCCATAAAATGAGGATTAATCTGGCCTTTTCTGTGTTAATGGCAGATTGACTGACGCTCTAAGTCATAAAAGGCGTGAACGCCTTTAAAATTTTCGCAAGTAAAGACACTGCTTTTGAATGAACCATTTAGCCCACCCCGGGCAGCGGTCTACGACCAGTCGTACGAACGCATGCCTGCCATGTCCGCCACATTCGGATCGGTTTTGGATTTGGGAAATTATTTATTCATTATCAAACCTAATGAGTAACAAAAACATGTCCCCCCCCCTTAAAATGCACTAATCTTCTGCATTAGTGCCCAACCATCATCCACTCGTCCTCGGATTGGGAGGAAGAAACGGTGACAAAACAGACAAACAGACGTTTAAATGTTCCACACATCCATCCCCCGTTACCCGTCCCCCGTCGCACCATGTGCTCCGGACAATTTGTTTTGCATAACTGTCTTAACTTGCTTGCGCGCGCACATACACATACGAGCGCACGCGTTACTGAACGGACGTATGGCAAGATGATTTTTATGTCCTAACCCCTGCTGATTTGCAGCAGTGTGTTGTGCATTTTGTTGTACTCTGTCAGTCGAGCATCCTCGTGTGGCTAAATATAATTATGACAGGTGGACGCTTGAACTGTGGCTCCTGCACAAGCAGTCGTCGACAGCTGACCCCAAATACTCTACACTGTTACAGACATACAGACAGACACGCACACACTACACACCCACAAAAGTGTGTGCACGGTGCAACAGCACGTGTCTGTTCAGGTCTGTGGACACTCAAACAACTGAAATACCTCTCTCTCGCGTGTGTATGTGTGTGGACAATTTGGATAGCAAGTCTTCGGGTATGCAATCAGCGTGCTGACCTTTGTGTGCTCTTGCCATGTCGTCACACTTCTCGTCAAACCCCTACTCTATCCCCCCTTCAGTTTTTGATTCGGTCGATGTGATCTAGCTTCAGACTGAACCACTCGAGGACGGAAAGACAGTTTTCGTGAAGAGGGTGGTGTATGCCAGTATCCAATACAGATGCACTGAACGAGTGCTGTATAGAGATGGTCAATCACACGTGCTTACATCCAGTAGCGGATTGGATGGAACTCCGACTGATGCGCGGGGGAGCTGGGGTGAAAAAACGACGCTATTGTTCGCGCTTTTCCTCCAGGGGATAAGAAAAATGTCACTTTAGTTGATTCATTCCAAATGTGCACACGGAAGCTGTTGGAATCGACCTGTTTCTCTTTTTAAATTTGGCCGCTCATCAACAAATAAAATGAC